CCAGGACATGGCTGTGCATTTGGTTACTGAACATGGTTAAATGTGGGGGGGGGGAAATTTCCAGGATCCAGTATGGAAGGCCAGTAAGGGCAAAGAGAAGTCAGTATATTGGGACTGCAGGCTCCAGGAGGAATGAGCAATACCGCGAAGGATTTCCAGTGAAACTGAATCTGATATCTGCCTTTGTGATTAAAAAGGAAGAGGGATATAGAAGAAGTCACAGTCTGCTGGTTTTAAGCCTGACTGTTTACAAAGGGGGGAGAGAAAGAGAAAAATATAGACTTTTCCAAAGATCACTTCCCTGACAGTTCACCCTGTTTGTCTTAGATACTTTGGATCGGTTAATTGTCCTTTTAGAGGTATCTGCCTTTCCTCATTGACTACAGAGGAAGATTAGATGCCTGGTTTAAAGTAGATGACAAACTTGGTGATCTGAATCCCTGCCCGGTGGCAGGAAGTGTTTTGTGTGTGCAAAAGGGCAGTGTTGCCCTTTGGGTGTCTGCAAGAGTGTCTACTTTTATGGAAAGCAGAGCAGTGCTGGCATGCTAGGATTATAGGATGATATGATTTCCCCTGAGGAAACCTTCAGCTCTGCCAAATTCCCTCATCTAAGAGAGGAGCTGTTTGACATTCATCCGTATCTGGTCCAGGAGCTGAAAAGTTAAACCTCTTAAAATTGCCATGATGGGTGCAGGGTTGTTTTTTTTTGCGCTGGGATTTTCTTTCCCCTTCTGCAGTGGGCAAAAGGGAGAGCATGTTGTGGTGTCCCTGTTTAGCAGCCTAAGAGGCAGGGGCTTGCTGGGGCATTGGTGCCGTCAGATATTCTTGGGTGTTTTCTGCCCTCGTAACTGAGTGTAAATCTGAAATGATCAAGAGCAAGAGCTAATTTAAAGCTCTTGTTTTAAATTTGCTTAAGTTATATTTGTAAATAATGAACTTAAAGCCGAACCATGGGGGTAAGAAAGACAGGACTAAAAGCCACATGAAGCTTATTTTGAAAATTGTACTTTTCTGTTGGCTTTTGTTATTTATTTTAAATAGAATAGAAATAACTAGAAATAGTTAACTTAGGAATAGTTAAATTAAGATTCACAGCGTAACAGTTGAGAAATTGAGAAGGGGATGGAATGCATGTTTATATATATATATATATATATATATGTAACTAATGAACGCTTAGGAGTAGAGAAAAATCTGCTAAAGATTCAGCATTTTACTGATCTTGTTCAAAGATGTTGTGAAAATAAAAAGGGCTGGAAAAACAACATAACTGCTGGAGAGTATTAACATGTGGGAAAGTCCTAAACCACGTGCAGAGAACACTCAAGAGTTTGGATTCCTGTCCTGAGCTAGCCCTCGAGCTGTTACAGCTCCACCAGTACTACCAGGGGACAGAGACAGGGTAGTGAAGCCAGCGAAGCAGGAGGATGTGATAAAAATGCTGTCACGTGCCAGTGCTAGCAGTTCCGTTGTTGCCACTGTAATTTCAGTGATAGGGTGTGAGAGCCCTCCTCTTCGTCTCCTATGTGGCTTGAAAAAAGCTTCAGTGGCAAGGAAGAGAACGTGTAGAAGGAGGGGCACGCTACTGGTAGCATGAGAGTAGGTTAGGGAGCTAGCAGATGTTTTCTTGCAGGAGTGGCCAATGCATATATAAAACTCTGGATAACTGAGACCGTAGTGAGTGTATGTGAGAATATCTTGGTAGTCTGGAGAACAGGGCCTTTTCTGCTAGTGAGCAATATCGAGCTGCTTTTTAAATTGAAGAGAGCGTAAAAGATAAGGCCACTGTAAGCACAGTGGTGAATGGGGCTATAGGGGGAAGTTGTAGATTATTGTTTATTTTCATTGACTTGTCGATTTGGTTGCCTGCCTTATGAGGCTGAAATTATTCCAGTCTTTGCTGTTAGCTAAGCAGTGATTCTGTCAGCTCTAATGTCCTGTCATACTAATAACAAAAATCCACGTTAGACTAATAATGCAGATGACAGTGAATTTCTAAGCCCTCCTGAATTCTTGTGCTCTGGGTAACTCCTGTGTGTCAGGTGTTGTGGGATGGCTGGGTAGCAGCCTGCTTGCTTTGCAGGTCTTATAGCAGTGCTGATGTGTGGTGCAGTGGCATGTCTTGTTCATACAAGCTCTCGAAGTGAAAGAAGGACCAGAGGGAGTAGCCCAGCTCTTGATACTTATCTCCCCAGGCAAACTTAAACTGGCAAATCCAAAGTGTTTTTTTTAATTGGAATGATTTCCAGAGATGTGGGAAAAATAGCTCTGGCAGTTTTGTGGTCTTCTGTTTTAATTCTTTATCTTCAGAAACCAGCTTTCTGCTTTCCCTGAGCATCAGCTGGACTAGAGAAGAAAAGCTTAGAGTATTTGTCTACTGCTGATGTTGGCTATGTCATGCCGAGATTAACACAGTATAATATTTGGTAGTTGGAGGATTTGAGAGAGGCAATATGAGAAATGTATTTCTTGCAGAAAAAGCAAAATAACAAACAGAATCAGTTAGCATTCAAGTTAGTAAGTCAAAAAGATCTCAGCTGGACTAACAGGCCTCAGGACTTAATTGGCAAGTTTGCTGAAAATTGTAACTTCTTAGGAATACTTTACAGGCTCAATCCTGCAAGTCCTACCTCTTCCAAACTCTAGTTGGCTTGTCAGAGTAAACTTTAGATTGCTTCTTAACCTATTCCAGGGTAAAGACGCATGGCTCTTTCCCAAAAAAAAACTTTCCCTCCATAGGTTTCACAATTCCAAAGCAAATGTGAAACATAAGTCCCTTCCTGTGGTTTAAATTATTTTCACGCTTGATGCCAGAAAGTTGGGATAATGTTGGGTGGTGATGAAACTGACTACTACTTACATATTTTTGGCACAAGCAAAAATGGTTGGCAATGTTTCAGGAGCTCTGGTGTGGCTTTTAGTACCATGGCACCAGATTTACAACCCTTCTCTTAAATAATTAAAACCTATATTAAAAAAGGGGGCTGGGGCTACCTCCCAGCTGGAAGACTAGAACAAGAAGGGGAAGTAGGGGAGAGCATCATCAAGGAGGCTGAAAGAGTAAGTCGCTAGAATTTTTTTCCTGTCGCCAAAACAATTCTGACAAAGCCCAACTTGTAACTAAAGTGAAGAGGCAGCCCCTTGGAAACCCCAGGGCAGTGTGGGCCTTGCGAAACCACTGTGCATTCTGTAGGACCAAGAAATAACGTCAATTTTTGTTCATAAATAACACCTCCCAGAAGGGCTGCCAAGGAAATCTATACTTAGTCATTGACTTTGCCCTTGGGGCAAGGTCTCTTTTGAAAGACCTCAAAAGAGGTCTTTCTTGTCCCTTTTGAGACAGGGGAGTAATTGTTATTACCTTTTGCAGACATGGCAGATTGAGACGTGGAGGGTTCAAGCACAAACACTTTTGAAAGGAGTGAGCATATTTGAGAGATCTTGGTTCCCCTGAGTGCTGTTCAGGTTTTTAAGGCTCTCAAAAGATGAGAGTGCTCTCGCTCCTCTTAGCAGAAATTTTTCTTGTTGGAAATACTAGGCCAAAGGGATTTCCTGGGTGTACGTGAGGACTGCATTTGGCAGGGAGATGTGGAAATGTACAATTTACAGTATGTATGTAATGTATATTATAAATCATATTAGTACAGTCAGCTGTTGAATATATAGTATTTGCATGTACGTGCAGAGCACTTATTTGGATGGCTGCCTGGCTGGCTGGCACAGAACGCAGTTGGGGTGGGGGTGGTCTCATCTCTCTTTCCATGTATAGGATGGGTGTTACAGGCATACAACCTAGCAGGACCCCTTTGTAAGCCCATTTACCTATCAGGTGCACCAAAGGTGTGATCTGATTCTCTCTGGCAGGCCAAATGAAGCCTTCTGTTGCCAGGAGGGGAAGCTGGATCACAGCTAGAGAATTCTTTCAAAGGACTATACGGCAAAGAGCTGTGTTTCAAAGACTTCTAATTACAATAAAAATAATTATTGGATTAGTACAATGAAAAAGAAGTTGAAAAGCTCATTATACGTATTCATTTTCTCCAATGTTACCACCTCAGCATTGATTACTAAACCTGGAAGCTTTGTTAAGTTTTAGGGTGTTTTCATTGCTTTTACTCTTTTCCTTTCATGCCAGAAAAGGAGTGGAAAAGGCATAAGAGAACCTTAATTCTGGGATGCAAACAGAAGAGGATTCTCCTGGGGCAGAAGCTGCCTTCCAAAGATGTTGTTGCCAGCCCTGGTGTAAGGTCTGGACTTGGTGCTAGAGAGGCAGGGTTCTAGCACTCTGACCTGCAGCCTGTGGAGGCTACTGAGTTTTGGACAGGCTCTTTGCCTTGCTCGTGTTACTTATTCTATGGAATGTGCAAAAGCTCCTAATTAGGAAGTTGCAACAGTCCATTCCCTGCTTGACCAGTGAACCCAACCCTTGACTTGCAGGGAGACCGCTGCTTAGTATGTGGTCCTTAGGAAAGGTATTTGGTCCCCCTGCCAAAAAACGTGGGTGGCTCTGCTTCATTTCACTTAGCATTGTCCATGAGAGTGGCAATGCGTGTCCCTGCTCTTCAGTGCTAGTAGATGCCATCTGGTAACAATGCTGTTCTAGGCAGGAATTAAAAAAGTGATTATGAAAGCATTTGTTCTCGTGTGAGATGAGCATCTCATAAGACATACTTATGCTTCTGGTTAGACTGGTGTTCTAGCTTGGGAGAGAGGAAGAAAAGGAAGGAAAAGGGGTGTCGGTATTGACAAAGCAGCCTTTTTGTGAGAGGGAGGGGGGAATGTTTCTAAACAGTGCTATGATTTAAAAAAAAAAAAAAATTGATGTTCTTTGTGTATTATGCAAATTGAACATGGTTGTAATTGCTTTTTTTTCCTGACACAGTGAAGAATGATTGCAATGAAATGGTCTGGGTTCGGATTGGAATGAGAGAAAAGGTAAGGATGCCAACCTGTCTGATGGTTTTTCTGTTTTTGTTTTTTTCTTGTGTGGACAGGTTGGCTATATTCAAATAGGATCCGAGCACATGCTAATACAACCAGTAAATAAGTCGGAGACCTCCTTTAGTGGAAAAGAACACTTCATCAGGCGTAGACGATCTACGAAATCAAGCCATCCCGTGACGCTGCAAGTTCCTGATGAGCACTGCAAGGTTGTAGCAGGTGAGTTTAAGGTGGCACAAGAGAACAGCCATGAGTGTGCAATTAGAGCTCTAACTGTTTTCTGCCAGATATGTCTGTATTTTATAATTCAAGTGTTTGAGTGGCTGGAGGTAGTGAGAAATGGCATGTGCTAATGAATCCTGCTGCTTCGGGCATAAGAAGCCACGTCATGAATAGAAAAATAATTAGGACATTGCTATAAAAATATCAGTGTGTGAGAAGAGAAGTGTTTGAGTCAGAGTAAACTTTTGTTTTAGCAAAGCCATGTGACTGCTGGTTCGAAAGGCGTTCACAATACTCTCAGCAAAGGCTTGAGTGTCTGAACTGAGGTCAGTTGTGAGGGGTGCTCTTTCTTCTCACTTTTCCACTGGAATTGTGCCACTGTGCAGAGAAGAATTCTTCATGAATAGGGGGATAGTCCTTGTATGTCTGAATTAGGAAAGCTTCACTTCTGATTAAATGAAATGAAAGTATCTGAAGTGTCACTTGTGGAATTCAAATCCAGGGATCCGGGTCATAGCAGGGTGAAAAGATATCTGGAGGGGTAGAGAGATGCACGGTTCCTATTGTAGAGCAATCTACTCTCCTTTTCAATTTCTCACATGTCGTCATTTTTACTTCTGTCTAGCAGAGCATACCATCCCTAACAGAGTACGTCAGGGTATGCAGTCAACTGGGCAGACTTAGCATTTTTTATTATTATTGCTTTTGTATGGGCTTAGGTGAATTTGAAACTGCCAAATGTAGTTTGAAGAAGGTTACATTTTTAACAAGGAACTTGATTAGTTGTTTTTTTTCTGGTGTTTGGCTCATCAGACTTAAGCTCTAGCTCTCGTGTTATGGGGCTTCTTGTTTCTGTGAGCAGTAACTGTTAAACTTTTTTTTTTTTCCTCCTCGCTCTCTGTCGCCTTGCTGTAGAAGGAATGAGCCCATAGGGATCATAAGGAAAGACAAAGACCTTGAAGGTTTTACTAGAGATCTGGGAATCCAGGTTTGAGGTCTGTGAGTCCAAAATATGATAGCAACTTAGTCTGAAGCTAGCTTGGGGGTAATCTGTCTATATGGATTGTATATTGAAAGAGCTACAGCTGTGACAGCATGGGCTTCTGAGTTAGGCAGTGGAGTAGTCTACCCAGTTTTAACATGGCATCCTGTTATCCTAGCTGTGGGTGCAGTAGCAGCTGAAACGCAGATGTCTTTTTGTGTATGAAGTTATTCTGGACTAAACATCTTCTCAAACAATTTCTAGTGCTTTTCTATTAGCCTAATAGCTTTGGAATGTTAGATGTATTGTTTCAGTGGAGTTTGTCTAGTATAATAAGAGATGGGAGGTGAACCAGCTCCTTGAGAAATGGCAGTGTCTTGGATTTTAACCTTGTGGTTGGCAATTACAGGCATAAGTTCTCTAATGCTCTCGATTCAGTTTCCAGTGTCATGCTGGCATGCCTTGTCGGAGTTAGTTTTCTGGGCTAAAATCCTATGGGTTTCCTGTGGCTATACCAGGTGCTGGTGGCATGTCCCAAGTAGTCTTTGGCTGTAACCCAGTGACACTGTGTTAAAGCTGTCCTTTAAAGAAAGGGTGACAGATGTGGATCTGTTTGTTTGGTTTGTGGTGGTGGTGGTTGTTGTTGGTTGGGTGGGTTTTTTTTAAAGCCATACTGCCTCCATTGGAATGCCAATAGTAAGGGGATTCTAGTCTCTTGTGACAGTGCTCCTGACAGTATTTTTCTTCTGTCTTCCCCCTTCTTCCAATCCGTTCCATTTGCAATCCACAGACAGCCTGAGGAACTAGAACTCCCTACTGCAAGCTAAGTTGTTGAATTTCTTCATATATATTGGGCTAAGAGCGTGCACCCGCACACACCCACATACCACTACCATAGCTCAGCTGATGTATGGAAGATGGCTAGGCTGCATGGGCTAAGTGTATTTCTAAGTTATGAGGCAAAAGGAGGGTGATAGTCTGACGCAAAATTTATCTGAGACTGATAGACTTTTACTGGCTTATTGGTCTTTGGATCTTGCTCTGTGACCAGATTTTCTTTTCACCTAGTCTTAGCACCTAATTGGGGGGCTAAGCTAGTAGGGCGACTGGGGACAACATGTGCCTCTCCGCTGAGTATTGTGTGAGCCCAGGATAGCCTTTTAGTCCTTTCTGCAGTTCTTAGGTGAGGAAAACCTGGGCCTGTATGACTTTTTTCCCCATCTCTTCCACCCCAGGTAACACAGGAGCCTGAAAGGCCTAGGCACGGAACTTGGGTGTTGATCCTTTGTGTCAACCATAGCCTGGTTGTGTTAGCAAGGAAGCACAGTACCGGGCTGCTGCACGGCGGGGAGTGCTGCTTGCTTGTGCAAACAGCCGCTGCTTGAAGTAGCCATGTCATAAGATAATGAAATTGCTCATGGGCTTTGCCACTTTAAAGGCAGACTCCTGAATGTTTTTCACTGTTGCAGGGAAAAAATGTAAGTCATGGCTGTTAATAGGCTTAGCAAGTTAATGACCTAATTGACTCCTGTCTGGTTTGGATTAACTTTTGCGCACAAGGAGTTTAGAAACAAAGAAACTAATCCTCTCTGACACACAAAAGGTCCATTTCTAATGAAATTGCATGGCAGTGGTGATCTAGGGGTTTGTTTCCTGCCCTTCTCCTGGGAAAAGGGCTTTTACTGTGGTACTTACCAACATCACCAGAGTAAAGAATTAGTCAAATTTGTATTATAGATTCCCTTTTTCACTGGCTTGTAATTTGGCTAACCCAGGCTAAAACTTGGCAGGCGGTCGTAAATAATTAAGAAATAGCTTCACATGCTAGAAATTTTAGATATGTGAAGGTATGGTGGAAGAATATGTACACAAACATTCATGTATGTGTGAATGGAATATAAAATGAGTATTTTTCAAAAGCATAGAACTGCCACACTTGAGTGTTTCCCAATCCTTAGCTATTTTTCTTGGGATTTTTTGAGCGGACCAGAACCACTTTAAAAAATATTTTCCTCTTAATCTTGTAAGTCATCACTACCTGGCATGATGTGGGATTATCAGGGATTTAAACAAAATGTAAAGCATCAGATGGTGAATCTTTAATAATAGTTATTGATCACATCAGTATTTAAACAGCACTAGCAGAGGTCAGTGGCAGATTTCCATTGGCAGCAGTGGTCCTTTGATGTACAAACTTATTTGATTGCAAAAAAAAAGATGCATGATGATGTAATGACTGGTGTACTTGTGAGAAGAAGAAGAAAGCATTTTAGGTCAGCAAAATGGCCTTACTTAATCAGGAAGTGCCATGTGTCAGTGCTACTGAGTGGGTATAGAGCACAGCTTCCTAAGAACATTACCCTTGCCTCCCACCTGGAAGTGTGGTACTTTCCTCGCAAATCCAAGCCAAGGGCAAGGGAAGCTGAGTTGAACAGTTCCTTGGGGCTACGTAATGCTATGACATTCTGGTTCGGTAAGCATTGTTTAAAAATCTCTAAAAACTCCTTTATTCTAAGCAGCATAATGTCCTATAGTGATCGAAAATGTTTTTAAAACTGCAGGAGAACTTTGTGGGAGCAAAATTCTTCCTGGAATAATCTGTATAGGAGGATTACTCTGACTGGGGTCAGGAGGAGTGGGAAAGCACTTAGCGTCTTCTCTGCCTGGCTCTTTGAGGTGAGGATCTGAAAGTGCTTACTAATGGGTTAAAAAATCCGAGGTCTGTGGATTCAGGGCTGATGTTTTAATTTCTTTTATTTAAATTCTAAAGTGCTCCAACAGCAAAGAACAGATCCTGTCATCATGGGCCAGGTGCTATTGTTAGTCATATGAGATACACACACACACACACACACACACACACACACACACACACACACACACACACACACACACACACACAGTTTTTATCACCTGTCATCCAGCAGGAGAAAGAGTTCAAGTCACAATGCACATTTCTGCTTGGGCATGAATGTGAGCCTCTGTGAAGCAAACAAAACCCGCTAAAAGGCTTCCAGGTGCATATACTGTGAGAGGGAAGGAAGGGAAGGTTGGATATCATTTGCTCTGAAGCATGGGGTCATTAGAAACATGGAAAATAGCTTCATGCCAGTGATGTGAAACACTTCAGTTCTCATCTCCAGATACTGGGCTACATCTGGGGCACAAACCTCCTATCGTGTACTCTTCTGATTTTTAAAAACTAAACAAGTTTAAGCACTTCATTCTCAAGGATCCTGGACTGACGGCTGCCCTGCAGAGAGGATGGTGTTATAGTGACCTTGGTCTTTAGATTTTAGCAAGATTTACCTAAGTAAGAACTTCTCCACAGGTGAGCCAAGTGGGGAAGGAGAGAGGTCTCTGTGTTAATGCATCCTCTGTCGTCTTTGTTGTGCCCCTAGGTTTGGCACAGATCTTGATACACAGATTTCCAATTTCTTCTCAGGGCTAAGAAGCAGCTGTGGGGCTCATTTGTTTCTCGACAGTTATCTGCCCTTGCCACCGTTCTCTGACTCAGTGGGAAGAGGTCGTAGCAGAGAGGAAATGGGTAAACGAGAGAGGAGGACTACTGGGGAGCTCTCCTTTAGTAATCCCCTGTAGCTAAGGTTGGGGATAGAAAATACTTGAGGTGGGTGCTTCTTTCATGGTCCTGCCTCTCTGCTGTTTCCTAGCAGAGGTGGTACACCTGAGCAGGTATGCTTCCCAGGCAGAATATCTGGACCTCTCATCTGTTTTCTCAAGCTCAAAAGTTGGAAACTTAAGTCCTTAAGCAATGAAACATCTTTATTACTTGTGTTGAGTCTGTTTTGAATATCTATTTAATCTCACAATGTTGTAAATGAGCCCACAAACACTGTATAATGTATACAGTAAAGTTGTTTCCAAACAGTATCCACCACATCATCAACTGCAGTAAATTGATATAGCTGGCTGTCATGGAACAGCAGTAGTTGAACATTAGCTGAGACCTGGTTGTGTATGTTGTATATTTCATATACCACCAAAATCTGTGGAT